TGTAGGTTACAGACCAAAACGATGTAGCTCAAGAGCCAGCAGTTTCCAAACGAGGCGAGCTCTTCCGCTAACCCACGCTTCGAACGTTGGCAGATCCAAGGGACCTGAATTATAAGTACTTGTTGTCCCAAGTGTGCTTGGACATCAGCGTCCATTCTGTTGTCATTTGCTCGCCGTTATTGCCGGCTTCTGGCCATGGTTGCGAAAAGCAGCCATCAGCCCGCAATCCTGAACGGCAAAGTCTGTCTTCCTGCAGCCACTACACTACTAGTTAAGTTTGAACATCGGCGGATATATGAAGACAACAGCCCAACTCCAAGGAGCTGCAAGAGGTACGAGACACGTGCCTTCTGCTGCAGTGAATTAGCGATCATTAGGCCAACTACATGTTCTGAATCTTCGTCGGCATATCCTCTGGATTTGTCCATGGAGCATGTAGGGTGAGCCTTTTAAGTTCCTGTTTGCATACGGCAAGACTTAGATGCACGACCTGGGCACACGAACACACACACACACGCATCATGAATTGAGATGTAGTGCAGCACAGTACAGTGTGGTATAGTACGGTGCCGTTTCGTTATGGTGTTGTGTGCTATGGAATCACGGTCCAGCGCCACATCGCATTGTATGGTATGGGACAATAGAAGTGATTTTTCGTACAGCAGACACGAGCGTAGAACTGAATAGAGTGGAGTACAGTATAGTAACGTACAGTACATGCGATAGCATGGTCCGGTAAAGTATAACTTGTCATGACATTGTACATTGCAAGATCGCATATTACAGTAGGGTTTAGCGGGATTCATAGTATTGTTCATCATGTCTGACATACCTGTACCGCATATTGGAATGCAAAACTCACACCGTATAAACTATGTAACATGGTACTTTGTTTTTTTATACTGTACGCGGTATCTGTCTTTTAGCGTATTCTAGTGCGGAGAACATAACACGACATGTTTTCGCCCAGCAAAATTTAGCCTGACACAGTGTGATGTAGGTAATGTAAGGCTATGCCTTGCCATGTAATTCTGTGTGATGTAATCTGCACTGCTCTATGTTTATCATACTTTTCCATGATCTAATCTGAGTATGTGCTTATCCTGTGGTATACCATGCTATCGGCCCTGCTATCTTGTAACAAGGATCTGATCGCTTTGTCCCTAGCGATGCGTGACTGCCGAATATGATTTGTACACCTGCCACGAATATTAGTTTGGTGTGCTTGTACGCAAGTATACAACATAACTTTACGATGATTGCACCTGCGTGCATTGGTGGTGTTGTTGCTGATGAGTCCGTACTTGGAGGGTCGAGGGACTTAGTAACTGGTTATTGTAGGGACTTATAAGTACCATAACCCCAATTAGGGTCCCTTTTAGGGTACTTATAAGTCTACTTACTACCTACGTACTAAGGCCCCCGACCCTCCAAGTACCCCCTAGAGTCCTGCACCCCACGCCGTAGATCTTTCATCTCCCCCCCCCCCCCACATCCTTAGGCTCAAGCCCATAGCGCAGAGCCCACGTTTTTCTTGGGGGTAGGGTATGGGGTTGTTTTTTAGAGTTTAGCCTTTCATAACTCCCAAGCCCTATCCCAAGTTGTAACCCCAAATACGACCCTAAACCCTAGACAACCCTAATCCCTAAAATCTATGAAGCTCCGAGATACTCGCGCCTCTTCCGAACGAAGCTGGACCCACAGGGCCGACCTGTTCCCTTCGAAATCTTCAGAAGGCTTGCTGTGGGATTCCGAGGGCCAGTGCGGTTTCATGGTCATGGTTTGGGCCTATTAGACAACCTTAAACCCAATCTCTCTACCTATCTATCTATCTATCTATCTATTTGTATATATATATATATATAAACCCTGAACCCTAAACCCCTAAAGCCGTTGAGTTTTTCGGGATAGCTTGATGTTTGGGGTTGCCTTCTCGGGGTGCTCAGGGGGATGATGCTTCCCAGACCCAAAACCCTTCACGCCGGCAGTTCGGGAAGCCGCGAAATCCGCGGCACCCAATCAGATCCGTAATCCTCAGATGCCTACAGTAGCCACGACTTACGACGGTTTGCCTCATGGCTGTTGTTTTCAAGTCATGGGTCTCTGTCAAGCAGCATTGTAGAGATCCTCCCGAACGCTTGAAAAGGACAAAAGTTTCACTTGGCTCGGTTTGGGGCTGGGGCCGGGCAGCATGTCGGACGTGGGGTTTCGGGGTCTGAGGGATGTATAGCGACTTTTCGGGTTTCAGGACGTTTGTCATGGGTTCGCGATGCGGCGCGCTCCAGAGAAAACGCCGAAAGGAGTGGCTTTCGGATCCAGAGGAGACTTGAAGGTAGTGCTGATTCAGATGTCAGGGCTTCGACTTGCGACGACGGGTCGTACTTCGAGTAGAGCTGAAGGGCTCCGTTTCCCGTGAATTCTTAATGAGTGTGCTGTTTCTTGTCTGGGATTTGTTCGGTTCAGGGTTCTCAAAGGGCGGCCTTTCAATATTTATTCGTTTGTGGAGCTTGGGGCGATTTTCGGAGGACTTGCTCCTTGATTCACCCCCTTAAAGGGCAATCCCATGTTGCGACACTTGCCAGATATGCGCGCGGCGTTCTGGAAGAGCTCGATCAGGATCCTGAAGCACAGGACTGACGATCTTGTAGCTCCCAGGATCTTGAGATCAGATTGCGACATACCACGACAGGCTAAAATGTGCTGGCAAGCCTACATTAGATAGTTAGCATATTCTCGACGAGCGGGGGTGATCTGCTTCTGAACTACTTCCGTGTGCCTTTTTTCTATCTGGCGTGTGGCACATGCGTACATATATACATGTGTATGTATATATATATATATACATATATATATATATATACATATGTGCATTTATTTTTACGCACACACATACATACACACATATATATATATATATATATATATATATATATATATATATATATATATATATATATATATATATATATATATATATATATATTTCTATTTATGTGTATATTTTGGTGTTCATATTCCTGTCAAGCCTTAGCCCTACGCCGTCCTTGCATTTGCTCTTCTCCTGGATTCTCCGGAGAACCGGACCGAGGCCCTGTACACGGACTTGGATCGACCACGCATGCTAGCCCTGCGTCGCTGGAGCGCCCAAAATGCCAGAATCGACTATCCCTAGGGATCTAAGGAGTCATATATGAAGGCGTTTGGGCCCAAAGACCATGCTATATAAGGCTTTTGGGCTATTTTGATCCCTAGGGTATTATGTACTGTGATAATAAAGAAAGCATGCGGCCACACATATACTCATTCTACAACAGCACCATATCGCGTCTGATTGCTCAGGAGATGATCCTAGAGCAGTTTGTCGCGGAGGCACTTCATGCTTAGGGTTTTTAGGGTTTAGGCACAATAAATATGAAGTAAAGCTCACTTGAAGACTGCAAGTGAGTGTATATGGGCACAGACGGGCTCAGCTCGCCCCTGAAGTACGAAGCTCATGGTCGTGTATTTGTTTTGTGTGGCGGTGCTGGATATGAAGAGCAGCACAAAAAATAACTGTCTTAGTTCATACGTACCTGAGACCTTTCCCACAACCCCTTGGGCTATCAAGCGGATCTTCTAACCACAGCCCCCTACTATTTAGGGTACTATATTAAGGTCCCCTATTATCGGAAACTCTCAAATTGCAACCCATAATGTGGGGGGCCTTGACCACCACTCAGGCCGAGAGCTCATGAATTCCCTCGACAATCCAACACCTTCTTTTCCCCAGAAACCTACACCGGCAGCTCAAGAAAATCTTGACCCGCAGGACGTCCTTGTCTATTGGCTGCAGTAGCTACAGTATCTATTGCATCAGAAAAAAGCTAGAGCCTGCTTAGCCCATGTATATATATATATACATACCTACATACATACATATATACATACACACACCCCAACCAGCAGGCGCTCAACTACAAAATCACGACTCATCTGATGCTTTGTTACTTCCCCTGCGTTGGCGTGAATGGAGGACTAACTATCTAGCTAGCTGTCCATCTGCCCGCATTTGCCGCATTGGGTTCCGGGGTAACAAGGCGAACCCCTCCAGATCAATTTACATTCCCACTACATCTACTGTTCGCCCCAAAGCGACCCCAAAGCCCCTTTCCTTAATGTGTCCTTAATGTGTCTTCATGTATGTATGCATGTATGTATGTCTGTAGTGATATGTCTTATACATATATATATATATATACACACATAAAACATATACAGATACATATACTAAGACAGGTACATATACATATACATATGTAGGTAGTGATTCTGGTTCAACTTGGTTCTCACTTCGATTATCCATTTTCTGGGTTCCCTACTAACCACTCCGAGTTGCCCAGGTAAAGCTGCAAGCTCCGACCAAAAGGGCTTTTGGCTTGAGCAAGCCATACCCCAGGGCTTAAACAAGCCCGATTAGAGCCTTTACACCCAAGAACGGAAACACTCAAGCCAGAGCAGCCCGCAAACCCTGAAAGCCCCGAAGCCCGAAAACCTTTAAGCCTTACAAGTTTCAAGTGCAGTGACCATGGGGCAGAGCAGCAGCCAGGGCTGCTGCGAAACGAGTGAAACGCTTGAACTTGAGCATGCCCCTGGGAGAGCTGAAAACTTTTCCAAGCCACTGGAAGGCAGTTTGTTCTACCTATATGAAGGGCTCAGAGAGCTGAAAGCCTCTCCAAACCTCTGGAAGGGAGTTTGTTCTACCGAAACACAGCTGAAGATGATATTAGTTTCACAAGGAAGCAACAGCCGCAGGAGTGAAAACATGGTCGGCCCAGAGCAGCGTTCAAGAGTATTCCCAGATGTGCTCCTAGCAAAAAGTTCGATCTGCTTTCATGTGTCGTGCGATTGAAGGCTTAATCGTCGTTCTGCCAGCTTTGATCATAAAGCATGCCCCTGTTTTGGAAGCCTTTGCAGCACTAGCTCCCCCTGTCCTCGAACAGGCTTGGGCCGGCAGGGAATCCATGGATGTCGTGTCTGTTGTCGGAGTGGCGGTCCCAGATATCGATGCTCACAGAAGCTTGGGGTTGATGGTTCTTTGGCCCATTGAAGCTGGTCTGTCAGGGTAGTTTGCCGTCACTCCGGTCCGGTGGTGAAGAGAGGTTTGGCCAACTGAGGATACCGATGGTGCCGGCACACCCGTCCGCGGAGGCGAACTTTGTGTGGAGGAGTGCCTGCAGGTCTGGATGTGTAGTGCATCCGCAGGTGACGTCATCAGTACGACGGCTGCATCAGCAAGTTGAAGCAAAACGGGCTTCGGTTGTTATGTATAGAAGAAGAGTGAAGGCACAGCAAAGTGCGACCTCATCATTACTGGCCATTCGTTGGTTTGACCTTCCCAGTACATAAACTAATACTCGCTTGCCACGGAAGGCTACGAGTCTTGGAAAGGGCATGACATGCAAATCTCTGAGAACTTATTTACAAAGCCCTCGAAAGTTTGCCGATGCCACCTGCCCGCTCGTTCATCGCAGCCCAGGGCTACCAGAAAGTGTCTCACCGTTCAAATGACCTGGGGCTCATGGGCTAAGGGGTTCAGGGTTGAATGTCGGGATCTGTAAACATCGTAAGAGTAGATCTATTGACTCTTGGTGCCCTAGTGGGTCGGGCCGGTGCGGATAGAGATGGATGCTTCAGGTCACATGCATGAACCTTAGACAAACAGCATCCTCATCCTCACCTGAGGCCTGTATAGCCAGCCAGCAGGGCTTTTCAATCGCATATTCGGATAACACCTTCACCAGTAGGTTTTCTTCAGGCAAGCAAAGCGCCGTGCCAGGGCTTGCGCTGCAGAAGTAGCACTTGCGGAGATGTTGCGATGGCTGGTTTCACGAAATCTGCCGTCGAGGATTCAGATGCTCTTGCTGTGGCAGCTGCTTTCCTCAATGGTGCGTTCTTTACTAAGTACATCAGCAACGGGGCCAGTGTAGTGAACCTGCGACACCACAAATCCTAGCTTCAGCTTCGGGAGGCTTGTCCAATTCAGGTTTTTCTTTGGGACTGGGCTTTGCAACATGGAAGCAGGGCTCAAGTAGAACCAGGTCTCCGCGCAGCGAAAGCACAGAGTACGTTTCAAGCCGTCTCCGACAAGACTAAACACAGGGTTCAGACAGAAATTTGACTCTGGTAGACCCCAAGGGATAGGATCATAGACTTATATGATATTTGATATATCGGCCATCCGACAAAAGATCCCGCCGCCGACACCGAGCCTCCTTGGACTTGCTTGTCCAGGCTCCCTGAAGCAGGAGCTGCATCAATATAGGGGCTTTACGTAATAAAATTAATTACCAACACTGTTTGGGGAATTATAGTACCAAAACCCTATTCCAATTATTCAGGCCCCAGTATTATGGATCCCCATGCGGTCCCTGAACTTCTCCTGGATACCTGAAACACTGAGAATGCATGAACTGAGACTCCGACATGTGTCTGTCCTTGCCCTAGAATACTACAAATTGAGCTCACATCTCTTGCTACCTTGCGAGGGAAGCCTAAACCCTAAACCCTAAGCTTATACAGTGAACCCCAGAAGTTGGAACATGGGTTTAGGAGGATCGGTGTTAGGATCTCATATACTTTACCTTGAGGGCATGAGGATATTGATGTTCCAACTTTCTGGGCTCTACTATAGCTCAGCAAGCTCCAGGTGAAGAAGCACTGCCAGAGCAAGCTCGATGCTGTAAATGCTCAGCTCGATGCGGTCTGGTGTGGACTTCTCCAGCAGGACGGCTTCGGCATGGCAGTTATAAACGTCACGTCGTGAGAAGCATCCCACGTCGGCATCACCTTCGCCATCGCCATGATCATGAGTCTAGAGTCTAAAGCAACATCATATGACTACAGTACCGCAGTCTACAGAGGTCGCGGCACACAGGGTGCGAATGCGCTCTCACGGCTGTTCCTTGCTGTGAAAGCTTTCCGCCCTAGTTCCGTTTGATGTTGCTGGCACTGTGGCATGCTCTAATTTGTCTTGCTGACTTGCTGTTCCTTCCGCTGTTGATATTCTGGTACTGGTGGTGTTGCGCTGCTTTGCCGGCGCCGCGAGTGGTGCAGCTTTCCGCGTTGCGACTATTGCCACTGCTGCCGTTCCTGCACATTTTTCTGGCTAGGACTCTTCTTCTGGTTATTTGGAGCTGAGCTAGTTCAGGCAGTAGTGGTCATCCTTTTTTGTTTGCCGTTTCTCAGACTATACGACGACGACGGCTACTGCTCTACTACTACTACTACTACGACGACGACTACCACCACCACCAGCGCAGTAGTAATAGGAGTAGTCGTCGTCGTAGTAATAGTACGACTACTCCTGCTGGTGCGAGTCCTATCTCCATGAAGCAGTTTCGTTGATGTTGGCTGCGGTGCCACTGGTGTTGATGATTGCAGGTGGTATTTGGTGGATATGCTAATGCAGGGGCCTTACTAAATTGAATAGGGTTTGGGGTATTTTAAACTATAACTATAAGTGAGGACCCCCCCCTCCAAAAAAAAGCCCTTACAATACTAGTAGTGGTGGTGGTGGTGGCGGTGGTGGTGGTGGTGGTGGGGGTGCTGCGAGTACTGGGTGGTGTTGTTGGTCGTGGCGCATTGCAGGGGCGACGGTAGTGGCAGCGGTGGTGGCACATGGTAGGAATACTTAACCGTCATTTTCGTCGTCGTTGTCGGGGTGGTGTCAGTGATGCAGAAGCAAAGCCAACACTAGAATGTCGAGCTGAAAGCATGGCCCATGCAGGTGGCTCAGGCAGAGTTCGTCGCAACGGTCGCAGAGGCTATAAAGACCAGAAGTGTCCTACGCCTTATCGATGCCACCGTGCGCTTGAACTCCGCTGGCACCCCCGTCTCAGATCTTCTGCAACGCTTGGCCTTCCAGGCCAGTGTTTTAGAGGAGGCGGGGCTGGTATGGAAATCCATCATGGACGCCGTCCTGGAGCGAAAGGCCGAGGATGTTGAGCTTTGGGCAGAGCAGGCGAAGCTCGCAGGCGAAAGTGTTGAGATGGAGCTGGCCTTTGCGCAGAGCCTGCGCCAAGCCGATGCTTGCTCACACCATTAGATTGGATTCTGTCTCGCTTTGCGGGATGCCCCCGAATGTGTACACCTGTTGTTTTGGTCAACCAGAGACATGCCCCGTACATGGCCAGGACTTCTTTCAAGATAGGCTGTAATTAATTGTAGTCTCCATGTTGCACTGAGGAAGAGAGCAGCATGCACTCCTTTTCAAAAGCTTCCACTTGCAGCGATACGAGCTTGACGGAAGTGGGAGTTGACGAAGGCTCTGCACGCTGAGGGATGAGATTCTCACCTCTACGGTTCGGGGTTCAGGCTGCCAGGCTCCTGTAGACCTAAGCTCTTGCACCAGTAGCACCCATCTCCCTAAATTCGGAACAATTTCAATAAGAACGGTCATGAATCTGCGGAGTCCCTATCTGCGAAGCCATGCGAACCCTGAAGGTGACGAAGTCAGGACGACGGCAACTAGGCCGTCGCGTCCCAGCTGGCGTGCCACGAAGGCGAACACATCGGATCTTTCTGGTCCTAGGTCGATCCAATACTCGAGGGGTTTAAATAATTGCCCATACTATTTTAGGGATTCCTTGTTATACTTATGTATTATAGTATAATGAGCCCCAAAGCTCCATTCTAACTATTAAGCCCCCTACATTACCCAAGCCGAGGATGTTGAGATAAGCTGCGAGGTAGCGGCTGCATAGAACCTCGCGGAAACCGTGGAACTCAAACCAGAATGTTCGACAGCTGCTCCGAACCCGTCTTTACACCGAGCAGGAGTACCCGGGTGCGAGTCTGCACAGCAATTTTAAAAAAGTGTGAGGGTGGCGAACGAAACAAAGACAGGCAGAAAGAAAGACAGACATGAATGAAGAACGAGAGAGAGAGAGAGAGAGAGAGAGAGAGAGAGAGAGAGAGAGAGAGAGAGAGAGAGAGAATTCGAATGTCCTGAAAAGATGATTATGACCCAAATAAAATATAACATGTACCATATATATATAACTATATATCTAAATCTGCCGTCCTCGGTTGAGAAATCATCCAACTTTCGCACCTCTCTGACAGCCCGTAAAGGGCGGGCGGGCCTTGGTGCCTGGGGGGCTTAACTCGCTACTTAAGCCTGGGAGAAGAAGAGAGAGAGAGAGAGAGAGAGAGAGAGAGAGAGAGACACGCAGAGAGCGAGCAGTGTGTCAGGCATGGTGGGAGCTTGAATGACAGTACAGGAGACAGCGTGCAGACAAACACATTCCGAGACTTCTTCTTAACCCTTTAATTCTAGCCAGACAACGTCCCTTGGCACTGGAACCTGTGCATGTGTCTGTTGCGTGGTTTCAGGAAACCCGAAATGCCTGGCCTAAGATTGAGACTGAGGTGAACATCTCTTCCAAAGACAACCTCAAGGGAAAAGTGCCGGAGTTTGACAGCTTCTTGTTTCAGGAGCGGGCTTAGGTTTTGATCCACCGAAACTGACACGATGGCAAATTTCGGATAGGCCACTGCTGATTACGGCGTCCTTTCCTCGGTGTGAAAGGCAAGATTTGTCGACATGACCTTAGACAAGTGTGCCATCTGATACTTGCAAGAAGAATAACACGGCACTTGTTGCTTCCAGCCAACTACATCAAGGGGCACGGAAATGCGTTGAGCATCTTTGAGCTTTTTGTAGTTCTATCATGTACAGTATGTTACCCTTAGATCGTACCCTGTAAATGCCCCTGTTTTTTCTAGAGTACCCTCATGGTCCCCTTGTAGCACCCCTTCAGTACCCGAAATCCTCAATCCTTGATCAATGATGGCCTTCTCGGCTTCTACCGCGTTGACCTGTGTGCGTCCAGGAGTCGGATTCGGCGGAAGTGCCTCCGGAGGCGAGGCAGTGGGTTTAGGGCGGTTTAGGGTATAGGGTTTCGGGTTTTGTGTGTGTGTATATATATATATATATACACACATATGGTTAGCCTAGGATGTGCTACGTTTTCGGGGTGACATAAGCCAATGGTCAGGACCCAAAAGTGCCGTTTATATGCGCCCCAGTCGGACGAATCAAGACTGTAACCTCCACATGTGTGTCTCTGAGTCAACAGAGGCTGCGCAGTCCTGGGAATCCAGCACGACGCATCCTCACTCTCCGCCAGAGTCCGCATCGCCCGACCTTTCTCCTCAGCCGACGCTTGGGCAACACTTTGTTTGCCTAATCCAGTCCTAAGCCCCAGACATCCTGGATCCTAGACTCAGGTGTCGGAGACGGGACGCAGGCTCACAATGGCTGAGGATCTGTCGTAAGGCATGCTTGCAAGTTTCATGCGGGTGTTCTTCGTTGAGCCCTACGGACTAGGTCTTAGCTTGTCTTGAAGATCCTGGAAGCTTCTTCCAGTGGGTGGATTACTGCGTAGTGTTACGCGCCCTGCGATATCCCCAAGAGGCGAAATGCTTCTGCCATCAGCCTTCAGGCTCCTTCTTTTGATTATATGCAGGATAATTACCCCAAAACCCCAGTCTAATTAACAAGGCCCCTATATGAGGTGCGCTTGTCACTCGACCCACATCTGCCAGTTGCTGTAGCACTGCGAGATTCTGCATGGGCAGGCTCCCTCAGAATCACATCCCCCCTTGTTTCGACACCCTGAACGTCAATCGCTTTGCCGCCAAGAAAGATTAATATAGTATGTATAGAGGGACTCCTTCAATGCCAGAGCATATGCTAAACCCGAAAAACTCTGGACCCTAAACCCTAAGAGTATATACTCAACTCATTAAAAACCTATAAACCTTAAACCCTATGAGTATATACTAAACCCTGATCAAGCCCTATGACCCCTAGACCCTACTTAGTGTAGGTTTCTTATAGACCCTTAATGGACCAAGCGCTCAGGTCTTGGCGGAGGGCTGAGGAGTTTCGCCCCGATGCCCCGAGAGCCCGTCCTCCCGCACCGTACCTTGGCGCTCCACTGCAGGGGCTAAAGGAACCCTAAACCCTAAACCCTCGTCTGGCTGTGTCCGAGCTGCGAGAGTGTAAACCCTAAACCCTAAATGGGGTTTTGGGCTTTTAGGGCTTATCGGGTTGAGGGTTTGAAAAGCTAGGGAGATTGATGAAATCCACTTGCTGGAGGCACTTCAGAGAGACCTCGTTCAAAAATGGGGATTTAGGCCAGAAGCCCTAAAGGGACATGGAGTTTATACCAGGACTCCCCCGATGGCCCTTTAATGGAGCCCTAATAGCCCTTAACTGTAGGTATTTGGGGTATATTAGAGGGTAGTTGGGGGGTCTAGGTAGGGTAAAGGGTTTAGGCTGGAGCCCCGAGCCACCAAAAACCTCTTAGTTAATTAAGGAATATGCCTTAAATCATCTTTAGGGGATCGGCTTTTAATTTAAGGTATATGAAGTCCTAGGTTTTGGAGGCGCTTGGAACATAGAGTCTTGGCTTTAGATTGTCGAGTAGTTTTTCAGAATACAGACTTCTTCATGCTTGATTCGACTCTGTTGCGTGTCGAAAGTTCCAGCGCAAATCCCCGCATGAAATCCTGCATCTCAGAATCTTGTCAAAACTACTGAGGCCCCGATATGTCTAAGTATTCCTCGTTTCGCTTCACTCATCACCTCACATCGTGACTTCTGTTTCACTTCATAGGGAAATGGGTTTCAATCTCGGCTTTGACGCCACACTCATCTCTTTAGTCGTCCCCGCTCCCTCGATCTCTCCCTCCCTCCCTCCCTCCCTCCCTCCCTCCCTCCCTCCCTCCCCCTCCCTCCCTCCCTCCCTCCCTCTCCCTCCCTCCCTCCCTCGCTCTCCCTCGCTCTCTCTCTCTCTCTCTCTCTCTCTCTCTCTCTCTCTCTCTCTCTCTCTCTCTCTCTCTCTCTCTCTCTCTCTCTCTCTCTCTCTCTCTCTGCCTCATGTTCACGCACGTCTGCGTCTGCATACGGGCCACATATATTCACACATAAATCTATACACACCCGCGCAAGGAAGGACAGCAAAGTCATCTCAGTGGAAAACAAGTTTTGGGTTAGTTCCTGCAGTGACTGGCTTGCCCTCATAAGCAAGCAACGTGTTATCGGCATAGACGTACGTGCAGGCAGTTCACGGGTGTTATATACAAGTTACATATCATGATGAGATTCTTATGGCATGAAACTCCCATAGTCGATTGTTTACAGGGTCTGAAATGCGAAGCTGAATCATAATGCGGTTCAACATGTGCTTAAATGAGGTGCCAGATGGAAAAAGTCTAGCCCGAGGTGCCCCCTTATACCCGAAAACCCTATCCCCGTCATTAAACTAAGCTGAGCTCTTGAATTCGCTGGCGGGCTTTTGACAGTGCCTCCACCCAGGTATCGAGCGGCAGGGGTGGACTTGGACCATCCAGCCACTGGGAAGCGCATTTACTTCTGAATGGCTACATGCCGGGGTGCTGTCAAGACGCTTGCGAATCAACATGTCCCGGTTTAGAGGCATCGGTGCCGCGACGAGTTTTGCAAGCGAGGATTTCTCTGTGATAGTCCGTGACTGTACATGTCAGCAATCGACAATCTGAGCCGGCAACCGTATGGTAGATCCATTTCAGGCGAGGCTCGCCGCATGACAGTCCAGTCTTAAAGAAGGGGTAGTGCATCTGTCTTGCCTGCAAGCCCCCGGGCCCCTGCCCTCTTGGCATTGCTAAGTTTACTGTAGATTTTTCTCCGAGGTGTTCCAAGCATCACACGGTGCTGGCACGGCAGAGAGGCCGACGGGGATGAAAGGCGCCTCGTCGACGCCGACCTTCGCAGCTGCGTCCATGTTCCCACGCTTTGCCGCATACGAGGCGCGGCTTCGGCAGGAGGCTACATGTTCGCCTCAAAACAACGTCACAGAAGAAGCTTGCCTTCGAAAAATAGGCATCACAAGCACATAAGCAATCCAGCAAACAACAAGCACAAGCTGACAAACATATCACAGCCAGTACATGCATGCATACGTGCATAGATACAGATCTGCATACCAACAAGAATGCAAACAGACCAACTAGCACCAACTTACTTACAAACTGGCTAGCTGCTAGCTCGCTAAACACATACAGCTTTCCACAGCACAAAAAGCAGACTCAATTCTTCCACGTCTTAGGTTGCTGTTTGATCCGATCTCTGCTGCATGCAGGGTATACCTTGCGCTACCACCGACAAAGATGCCCGACATCATAGTTGCCCGTAGAATCTAGCACAGCCCACTAGCTGCATTATAGGACTCAAGACCCACGTCAACACACCGGTATATATGTGTGTGTGTGTGTGTCCCTAAGGGTCCATGTATCCATATGAGTATACATGGACCCTCAAGTACCTATTATATAGGGACTACTTTCAGCCTAAGTATAAACGATATGAGTGCATGGACCCTTAGGGTGTATATGTACATGTATGCCTGTATGTATGCCTGTATGTATGTACGCAGGGATGGAGCGATGGAGAGATGGAGGGATGGAGGGATGGACGGACGGACGGACGGACGGATGGATGGATGGAGGATGGATGGATGGATGGATGGATGTGTGGATATGTGGATGTCTGTGTGTCGGTGTTTGCTTGATAGCTATAGTTGCTAGTTAGTTAGTCAGTTAGTTAGTTTTACCACAAATGCAGCACACAACCGCAGAAGTCGTTGTGAGGCCCAGTTCCACAAGGCCGACGACGGCCAGGTGCATCGGACCGCAGATGTTTTTTGGGGAGCAGCAGGCTTTAAAGTGTGCACGTTTCCTGCCTAGGAACCGGCATCGCCTTTGGAAGAAACTCCTCGTGTTTGATCGTCTTGCCTTGTTAACCTGCGCGGTGCGATTGCCAACTTCACATGTGGGACTTGGTTGCCGTTCAGAATCCCGATGAAGCGAGGGCATATGCAGTACCAAGTAGATTAGTAGATCTGTTACTTTCCAATAAACTCTTGACGCATGTGCCGCGTTGCATCATGCATGACAGGGTGCCCTTCCTTAGGCGACTATGATTACACCTTTGATTGAGTGGTTCACTTTGATGGAAGTCTACTGGAAAAGGAGCTTGGTGGGGGATGCTCGGATATTGCCGGAGGCAAAATCTCACTAATCAGCTAAATCCTCTAAGCCTGCAGGCCTTTCACAAGCCCAAAACCAAAGCCCAAGTCCATGACAGAGGCTACTCTCTATAATACCCTTAGACCACTAGCCCGCTAAACCAAGTGAGGCATTCTAAAACCCTATAAATCTCGTATGCGCGCGGAAGCACCGTGAAGCTCTATAGAACGCAACAAGTATAGCACTTAAGCTCTCAGCCCTACACCCTCCAAACTCTTGTCGAGCCATGGGGGAGGCCATCACCTTGCACCCCAAACGCCCAAACACTGTAGAATCCTTACAGAAAAAGGCCCCTACCGAACCCCCAAAGAGCCCTTATACACCCTATCTAACCTTCTTGAAAATCTCTACAAGCGAAAGCTTTGTAGAGCCCACTAAATAACCGGCCTGTCTGAAACCTTATCAAGACCCTGTTCAAGCCACCCGAAGCAGCGGAGCCATCCAAGCAGGTCTAGTCAAAACCCAGAGCCTCCAAAACCCCTTAATTAAGGAATATACCTTAAATTATATTAGGGTCCCTAATATGATATTAAGGTATATTCCTTAATTCAAGGGTTTTGGAGGCTCTGGGAAGGGGTCTGGGGTTTGTAAGGGTTTAAAGGCGCCTCGACCACGGCAGCGGCCATCGAGCGCTCCGGGCCTAAGGCGGGATCTCCCTCATGATGCACTTTTGTAAGTTGGGTTTGAAGGATTCCTGTCAGGGTTTTAGAGGCTTCTTCGGGGTTTCTGAACTTCAACTGTTAGATCAATGGTTCTATATTCTATAAGGCCATTTTTAGGGCACTAGAAGGGATCCGTGGGTTTATTTTAATTTCAACGGACTGTTACAAGCATAGGGACCCTTACAGGAACCCTTGACAAGGACTTCATCGGGTCGTGATCGGGGTTTCAGGACTCTGTATAAGGTGATCGCTGGCTTGATGGGTCCGCAAGCAGCGGACCTCTGAAGGTTTGGGGTTCTATTTTATGGAGGTTTCGGTCTTTTTGGGATGGGTGCTGCACTGCTTCGGAACGGCGTGTCAGGGCCTGGGTTAATGAAAGCGCGAGTGGAGACATGCCCAGTTGCGCTGAAAATCGCATGTGTTGACGGTCTTACCTGTTTCAGTTGTAGTTTTGAGGATTACTTCCTCCATTTGCGGCGGGTTATGTTATGTCTCGTTTCTGCATGTGTAGAACTTGCGATTGGTGGCCAGGACTTCCGCTAGCTTCACCGATGCTGGGCTGCACAAGTTGTTCGCACGAAGTGCTTGCGTGAGCAGCTGCAGAAGAAAGCAACCAGAGGGTCTTTCCCGAGTGAATTCCGCATTTCCCCCAATACTTACGAGACTCTGTGGGTCGACCTTCGTGGGCAGAAGGGGAAACAGTTTTTCCCGCGTCCTCTCCCTAGAGAAGGCCACTCAACAGTTGAAAGTGACATCCAGAAGAACACTGGCGTGAACATGATTTGACCCGGTAGCCAGACATCATCTCCTTTATATACCCATTATACAGCCCATTGTAGGGTAGGGGTCCCCATGAAGGGTCCCTTCTTTTCTGCTCTTAAGGCGGATAAGCGAAGCTCCGCGGAACCTTTGCGGCAACCGGGTCCGGAGGCCGGAGAGGTCTTCTCCTCTTGCAAGTTGGTTTAGGGTTTAGGGTTTAGGGGTTTAGGGTTTAGGATTTAGGGACCTTCAGGGCGCCAAACTTTCGGAGGGATTCCTTATTCCTTTCAGCTTCCTTCAGCCTTGTGTCTGGAGCTTTTTACTGTCAAGCGTTCTTGCATGAAGCCCCTGGTTTCTGCAGAAGCAATCGAGCGCTTGCTTCACATATTCATTGCGCCTTCCGGCAGTTGAGCATGGAGGTTCTCAAGTTCGCAGGTGCGACTAGTTCAGCTGGGCGGGTGGCAAAAAATACTGTACGAGAACCCTCCTCATCGCAAGGGTAAGGTCGAGTGCTTGGACACACGCGAACCTGTCCGCTACAGCCTGTTTGTGCAAAAAAGATCAACCGCCTGAGCCTGGCATCTTGCGTTTATCGGCATAATTACATCCCAAAACCCATTCCTATTGTTACGGCCCCCATGAGAGAGCCTCTATATGAAGACCCAGTCTTCGCCAGGTAACGCGGCCATCGAGTGCGCACGGGCCAACATCGGGAACAAGGCTCCGATCGTTCGAAGAGTGGCTTCTAGACTGTAGTGGCTGTGGCTGTAGGGCTTCTTCAGGTGTCCTCAGGCTTCAGCGCCAAAAAGCCTATCATTAAGCCCTAAACGGCCCTAAACCCTCAACGATTATTAATGGTCCCATAGAAATGGGCCCGGCGGCATACCTAGACCGTGTTCGCATTTGATCCAGAAGGGCGTTTTGGCTGAGAGGTACATCTTTGTATTGCTGATTGAGTGACGCAACTCACTGAATCTTGGTTTCCGCTTGCAGCAATTCAGCAAGTGGTCCCTCGGCCGTGCCAGAGATGATTGCATGCTTCACGCTTACGGCTACACCGGAACCATCTACAAGTAGCGAAGTTCAGCATAAGTTGTTCTTGGCAAAGGCCTAATCGTGGGGTGCCAGCTGTCCTCTGTACACCGATCAGCAGAAAGCTTCTGCAGCGCCAGCAATAGTAAGCCCTGGTGCAGGAATTCCCACAAGCCTCCGCCACACACGCCGTCCGCCAATTTGTCGCCCTCCTGGGTGCAAAGATGGAAGACTTGGAGACTCGGCTGCATTGTTGCGGGGTCACGTGAATGCATGAACGCTAGCTGCTAGCTGCCCCACATGCAGATGGTTCGTGATTTCGTGTGTCTGCCGGGCAAACATTTAAGGTTTCATTTGCACCGCCCTAGGTTGCGACATGAGGCAGCGCGGCTTGTCTTGTCACTCACACGAGCCGGCAGGGAGTACTACATAGCAAGAAGTAGCTGCAGCTGGTACCGGTCGTTGTGTCGTTTCTCCCTGTTCGTGGTTGGTTTACAGTACAAACACATTTTTCAGCTTTCGACTGCGCCATGTGCAGATGTGAAGAATCGCACTGCAGCCTGTGCACGGGCCAAAATTCGAAGCACGAGACTGACAGAGGGCTGAGGGATGAAGTTGTGGCACGTGGTACCAGTCGCGTTTCAAGCACGTCTTACAAACCATAGATCTATACCTATGTATAGGCACCTGGAGGTTTCGGGTTTAGGATTCACACCCGCAGTTATATGGAAACCGCTAAGGATGCGCTTTACGGGTACGATTCCGGGCGAGGAGGAGTTGCGAGCTGGCAGCAAACGTTCTCAGAGCAGCGCATCCTCGCAGCCACGGAGCCGTGCAGACAGTGGGGCGACTCGGTGGCACTTCTAGTTTCTTCATATGGGTGGTTGTGAAAATTATGGTCCTTTTTTGGGTCCCTATTATAATACGGCACCTATAATTTAGGGTACCCCAAAAGGGACCATAATTTTGACAGCCACCCATATGTCTCAAGGGACGTCCATGCAACCTTCTCGAGTCCTTGTTCTAGCGGTCACCCGACAGAAGAAAGACCTGCATGCAGAGCGCTTCAGGCCATGGCTTTCGTGCGTGAGCTTTCCCCAGAAGGGTTTACCTTGAAACCCACTCCGAGGTGTGCAGCCCTATCCCAGGAGAAGCTGACAGACCCTCACAAATCTGAACCCCAAACTCAACATCCAAAAGACCCCAGTTTACTACAGGGGCCTGAATAACTACCAATACTATTGTGGCGGTTCCTTGTTATAATTATTAGTATAATGGCCCCCCCACCACCCTATTCCTATTAAGGCCCCTATACTATAGAACCCTACGATAGATCCCTTTAAGGAACCCTTTAAGGAATGCTTTAAAGGGAACCCTATTCTAGTTATTAAGGCCCCTGTAGTAAAGGCTTCTGGGGCCTTTTTTAAATTTCCCTTATGGTTCCTATATTATAGAGGTACCTATTCATAAATACTTTTCAGAACCCCAAAACTACAACCCAGAAAAGACAGTTCAAAGGCTTCTGGGGCCTCCTCCATGCCGGCGAGTTGGTGGTCCCGGCGGTCTGAGTTCCACGAGCGGACTCAGGCCGAAGTTGTTAGTTGGGGTTTCTACTTTTGGGGGGTCCTGACAGTATAAAGGATTGAGGGTGGTCCCTGACAGTATAAAGGATTGAGGGCTTGGGGGGTTCTGCAAGGTCGTGACGTAGAATCTTCCAACCTGCTCGCTTTTGAGAGTTTCTGGCCCTGCCACTAGTGTACACGCAACCCTTCAGCTATGCCCTTCTTTGAGGTTGTCAGTGGTCGGGGTTCTCCGGTCATTCGTAAAGACCTGACGGGACGGAGTTGTTCCTTCCTGTCTGGGGCATGTCAAAGGTCAAAGGTGTCGCACCCTCCCAAAGGCGGGCACAGGTTTGCACTCTCAGCCGAAGCACCATACAAAGTGAGGTCAGGCCACCTTGCTATGCATCTATCCGTGAACGACCGTCCTGAATAGATGGCAAAGGTGGTATGAGATGGACAGCAGCCCGTAACCATAACCCTCAACCCTCATTGATGCCTGCCATAAGCCTATAGACAAGACGTGCAAGCTTCGATGCTCCAATGATGCGCTGTTTCACTCATGCAGAGGAGGGAGCGAGAGAGAGCGCAAAAGAGAGAGCGAGAGAAACAAAAACGCGGGAGCGCACAGGGTCGGGGGCCCAAGGAACAGCTTCATTACAGCCTGTAAAAAGCTGAGCATCGCAGGAATGGCGTTCTGGGCAAAGTCTCCTCAAAGTATGTCGTGGATTGCAAAAGACAGAGTTGCAGGTCTCGTTTCCTGCAGAGTCTCCATTCGCAAAGTTTCGGTGATCGAAGAAAGGCAGATTCGGCACCGACACCACCAGCTCACTCTGCAGACCGAACTACACAACCGCGTCACGCCTACACAGGCTCTGATCTTAAAGATCGGCACAATGGAGCCCCGACAAAAAGAGGATACCGCTTGAAATCAACCCCAAAGACTTTTCAACTTTAATTGCACGTCCTCAACCTGAAACCTTATAAGCCCTAAAGCCCTAGACCCGGGAAGCCTACGCCGATAAAATGCTCGAGCAGGACACCTGGGACCGACCGCGGCCCGGGCAAAGGGAGAAGCCCACGCAGGTCCCATCGCTTCGGATGTTGGGTTCTGCTACTTGCGGATTTAGGAAGTACACTTTTACAGGGACTTTTAGTGTTTAGTAGTACTTGATGACTGGGTCCTCAAGAAAACGAATGAAGTGGAATGTGGGTTTTGGGGTAGCTTGCACGTATGGTGCCTCCAAGACACCACGGAGTTTTCGAAGTATGTGTAATCGTACGGATTCCTCGAGTCGAGCCGATCCACCCAGCCATGCACCCTCATGAAAACATAATGTACGCAAAATAATAGAATAAGCTATACTATGATAAGATCTGATATATTATAACATATATTCTAGCATGTACCTTTTAACAGCACAACAGAATATAAGACAACATAATATCAGAGCATGATACGGTATAGTCTAGTCTAGTATAGTATAGTGCCCAACTTCTGAGGACTTATACCGGCCTCCATCCGGAGTTTGAGGATTCACGATCCACGTAGACTTTTTCCAGGGCCCCTCAAGACATGCATGAAGCCCCAAGGCCTTCAAAGGGGGTCGGAACAAGTACTGAGAGTATCCCCCTATGGGCCGTTTAAGAATATGCTACAACACACCAAAGACCCAGTGAACAGATTAAGGCTCCTGCCTGAATGACGAGTAATTCCGCACGAACCTGATATCCTGAAACCCTAGCAGATCTAACCACAGGCAATCCTTGAAACGCAAGCACGTTACAGCTCTGAGCCTCGTTCCTAGAGACTCCACAACCCCTTAATTCAGGAATATTCCTTAAACCATATTAGGGATCCCCAATATGATTTAAGGTATATTCCTTAATTGAGGAGTTTGGGAGGCTCTGGGTTTTCGAGCCGGGGAGGCGCAGGCGAAAGCAAAGCCCAGCTTCGAGAGAAGAGACTCTTTTGATGAGAGCTTCTCGGCAACTTAGGGGCTTAGTCTTAGAGGAGCGCAGAGGTTTGGATTTGGGGACAAAGTCGGGGGGTCGACTGGCTTTATCTGAGCCTGTTTCGTAGATAGGAATCTTGCGGTTTTATTGCACGGTTTGGCCTCGGTGGGCTCTTGTTCCGAGTTCGGGAGTTTGGCGACATCTGAGGTTAGAGTTAAGGCTTAGGTTAGAGTTTAAGGGTTAGGTTGTGATGGTGTCGACCTTTGGTTGAAGGGCTGGATTCTCAGACCTAACAAGCTTTGGTGGCTTCAGAGATTTTGTTAATTAGTTGGGTCACTGAACGTCTAGATTCGGCTTCGACCTGTGTTGACTGCTGGTCAAAATGTTTTTTTGTGGATGCTTACGGCCTAAATCCATCTTGCATACCTAGTCTCGAAGAACTTCTATCATTCTATATGGGTGGTTGTTAAAATTAAGGTCCCTTTTTGGGTACCCCAAATACTAGGTGCCGTATAATAATAGGGAACCACAAAGGGACCATCATTTTGACAACCACCTACAAGCTCAGATGGTGTAAAGGCATGCGATCGCAGGTCCTTGGATATCGGAGCGCTCGGAACCCCGCTCGGCCAAGCTGAGGTATGCCGCGCTCCAGGGGCAGCCGAAGCAAGGTGGGGTTTGGGGTCCAGGTACTACCTGGGCCTAAACAGTTACCAATTACCATGTTGGGGGTTCCTTTTTACAATTATAGTAGAATATAGGCCCCAACCCTATTCCAATTAGTAAGGCCCCGATATTAGCCGAGCTATCAATGCAACGATCACTTCGGAACTCCGTGCACATGCAGCGCAGACCAACCTGAAAGACTCGATCTGAAATCCATTGTGCGGGCACCGAGCTTGCGAACTATTGACCTGAACTTCAGCCGGGGTGATGTTAAGCTTTTGTTATGTGCTTGCTTAAACAAGTCGATATTCCAAGTGCTGCCGAGCACACATCTCACACTGATGTCAACATCGACGCCTTATCCTTACCCAGAGGCCCCAAAGTAGTTCCTTTTTGCGATTACCTTTTTGGATTCTATATATGAACCCCCCAAAGGAAAGCTACTTTAGGGCCTCTGGGTATTGGCAGGATGAAACTTTCCACACACCAGGAAAGAGAAACGTCCTCATTGAATGCCGAGGGTGGACTGGCCACTGCTGTACGCTAACCCTAAGGGTCCAAAGGACCCAATACTTAGGTACTCTGTTTCAGGATAGTTATGTTGGTTAGGATTTCAGAGAGTATATGATTAGTAGATACGTGGACCCTTGGGGTAACCTATACCACCCTTAAAAAGCATGCGAGTGTTTTTGTCTGCGTGTACATTTCCGAATTTGTATTTGCAGAACCTTCCGTCATATTGACAGTGACAATGTTGGCACTAATCAGAAAGGACCCTCGTTCGTAGTTCTAGTGCTCTCGCCGTCGCCGTTGTCGACACAATTCGCACGTTTGGTTGCTGCTACTGCTTGCTGCTACTCCTCCTACTTCTGCTACTTCTACTTCTTTTAGCTTGACTGCTACTGCTACTCGTTTGCTGCTACAGCTTCGCTTTTAAGACGATTGCTGCATTGCTATTTGTTGGCACCAGCAGCAGTAGGAGCAGCAGAAGCTTCTGTCAGCTGTTGCCACTTAATCTTTTTATTCGTGCGAACTTCCACACACATTGCTTCAAGAACATGTCGAGTTGCTGGGTCTTCGGAGAGTTTGTAAGTTCGAGGCGTAGTAATTAGGCCACGACACGCGGCGCGAGGAGTCTTCCAATACGGCCGGGTCCCGTCCACCTCTGCTCAAGGCCGACATGCGCGAGAAGCACTTGGTGCCCTGACCCCTCAAGAGAACAGTTCGTTGCACTACAGGGTTCTGGATTGGTAGAATGCTAACATACATGTGACATACCGTTTGCCGCGCTTTTTGGCGGTTGCATGTCATGTACAATAAGCCAGTCCATGCATTCTGTCGGGAGGGGTTCGTTTGCAAACTGGGCCTGCGTGAAGGGCAGAAGTTCCGCGCACGCTGCAAAGCACGAATGAATGCATATACCCTGCTTGGTAAGAACCGTTGATCGTTGATAGTTTTGCACGACGCTCAGGGCCGTGCTTGAACACGTGGCTTGGTTTCGCGCGGCTACAAGCGGAATCGGGGTGCAAGAACATGTCGTAGTCATGGTAGTAAGTAGATAATTGACCGTCTTATCCAGCTCCTGAAATGTCATTGCCACCAGGGTCCAAAAGCAAAAGCAGCATCGCGGAAGATTCGGTTCGCTGCTTCATGCTGCTTCCAACAACATCTTTCAAACACTTAGAGACGGTTTAGCATTGCCCGGTATTTCTAGGCTCCCCGCCCCCTCGCCTCACGCTCATGCTCGGCTTGTCCCCTTGCATGCAGTTTTACGATAGTGCGTGCGGTAAGGCATTCGTGCTTGAGTTTTGGCATTTGGGAGTGCCGCTCTTAACCGTCGTAACCTTAGCCCTATAGTGCTCATGCATGTTTAGCCCAATCATTCTCGATGGTGTTGCTAGTGTGGAGGACGAGCAGAGAGTCGACATGATTGCCTATATCTGTTATTGGCGCATTTGTTTCAAGCCATCTTCGTCTCGCGGGGTGTCGGACCCGAAACGACCAGCAGCGAGTGTCCAACGCTGATCGTGTTTTCCGTTGTTCGACTTGTTTCTCCCTCGAAATGAACCGTGCTGTCCTGCTGCCTATACGGTTTCGGATTTAGGCTCTCATCGCTGTGGTCGTCTAGCTGCTGCTGTAGCAGGTCGATGTCCTGTTCCTTTCTCCTGACTATGACCTTTGCGCGTCGCCTGCTAGAGTCGCCCATGCAACTCTTTTGTGTTCGCAACCCTACATCACTACATCCCCATGTCACTTTACGCGTTGAGCCTAAGAAGTAGCTTAAGGCTTATCCATGGACCCTGTGGCTGTGGACTGGGTAGTTCATCCCAGCTTTTTTTTACGCATGCGTCTTTGGCACAAACCCCGCAAGGCCCACCGTCTCTAATCCAAACCTTTGAGTGCACAGATGTGCGTACCCGGCAATGTCTACCATCTACATACCCTAAGGGTCCATGTACTCAAAGTGTATGTACTTTGGCCTTAAAGTACTCCCTATATATTGGTTCATGGGGCCCCCAAGGTATATACATTTGGGTACATGGACCCTTAACTAGGTAGGGCTTTGGGCATTTTATATTTTCCTTTTTGGGCTTAAGAGGATCCTATTTACTAATATGTTTCAAAAGCTTTACAAGCCCCACCTAGTTAATTTTATTGAAGAGCCACAGAGCCCTCATCTGCCTGCACTGCCCGGAGATCTGTTAACTTCTTCTGCGCCATCGTCACCTCAAAGCGGTAAAGTAAAAGCCAGAAAGTTGGAATGTAATTATCCTAACCCTTCTATGGTAAATTATAAGGTATCCCACCCTGAAACCATATTCCAACTTTCTGGAGTTCCCTTTAGTATCTTGAGACAAAAGGTGGAACCCAAAGGCGGGGATGGGCAATCAACTATGGGGACTGTAAGGGATCACGAGGCACGGCTTGAGCTCATTATAGGACATCAGACTATACTATATCACTGTAATACATATATATATATATATAGATAGATTTCATTTTATGGAGTTTTTCTAGATTATAGTACGTAAATCTGAGGCTCTACTGGGCTTCCCAGCTTCGGCCAAGCCGTCCCCTGAAGAGCTGAAAAAGGCTTACAGAGCCTTGGCCCGTGGCATTCGTTTGGTTGAGGGCTTCAGGGTTTAGGGTGTAGGGTGCGGGGCTTAGGCCCTAGCTTAGGGCACTATGCTGTGAGCAAGCTCATTTCAATCAGCACTGTGTTATAAGTCTTCTCCCAAGTCCTTTCAGAGCGATAGATAATCTCAAACGATTTGCCTTTGGTACTTCCTTCTCTCTTGTTCCTGGACACTGATTCGAATGGCTAGTGTGAGACTGAAACACATGATGAGCGTGCCATGCAACATGACCTTTCCTTTTCGTCATCATTTACAGTGGTTGCAGTAACACAGTTGTTGCTGCTGTTGTTGCTTACTGCTCAACTTTGCTGGTGATGCCTTTGCCAACATTGCAGGTTCATAACTACTGCATCGAACATCTTTGTTATCGCCTCACGTTATTTCGGCGACTGTCCTTGCTTGCTTTATTTGAGAGTTGACACTGGTAGAGCGTGGTTTAGTGGGCCTGCGGCGGGATCTTTGGACTCACCCGCAGCTCTGTGTGTCCATCCAAGGCCGCAGTGAGTATGGGGTATAGTATGGGTATAGTATACTAGAGGTCTAGTTAGGAACCCTAACGGATCGTCAACATCGAGAGCAGTCGCAAACTTTACTTTCACACAGGTCCGGAACTCAACCAAATCGCTTGGCTCTTGGATCCGCTGAAGCCCAACTTCCACGTTTCAACTTGCGCAATCTTCTCCCGAATAGTTTCTCATGTCTGGGAATCCGGACAGCAGCAAAGGGATGCAGTCGATGCAGTCTTTACATGCTCGGTTCGGTCTGAGGTTAATTACAGCACGTAGCCCTGAAGCCTGCGTCCGAGCCACCCGACTCTAATCCCCTCCAAGCCCCAAGCATATCCTCGTTCATTTTGTTGACCGATCTGCAGTTTAGCAGCTATAAGCTCGGTTAGTGCTAAGTTGCAAAGTCTCATGAAGTCCCCCGAATTCCGACCATTAGTTATACCCACCAAGGAGCGATGGCCATGCGGTGGCACCCGGACCGACCACACAATCGCGAGAAGGCCTCGGAGGCGCGAAGGGCAATGTGACCTCAATTACGATTCATGTGTAGCGCTATAAGAGGACATCTATCCCAAGCGTTATCTCTAAACTCTTCTTGTGATGAGTTTGCGGGGTTGTGGCGTCTTGGGTATGGCACACTTGTTAAGCTTGCCATCATACCCCCGCAGCCACTATCAGGCATTCGCATAATTAGTCTCCACGCCTTCAGGACCAACAGCTTCTTCTTTTCGAAGCGAAAACCTGAGCGGAAATTAGTAGGAGGACTTCTGGAGACTGTCAAGCCATGCAGAAGACTTTATGTTGCTCTGGGTCCGAAATTTATTAAAACCTGTACCCGCTGCTTCCTTGCACCGGAGCAGAGACCCTGAACACTGACAGCACTAAAGGCCACACATCGTAGACAGCTTTCTCATGTGGGAGCTGCAGAAGAAGTGGGGTCCCAACATGGATTCAAACATCCCCAAGTACTCGGATCCCGAAGTACGTGCCGCCGAAATGGAGCCCTGCGTCCAGCTGCAGGCTACGGCTAACTTCAAGGCTGCGAAGGCTGCCTATGACTCTCTGAGGGTGTAATGTAGGAACCTGATTAAGAAACCTTGGGTCCCTGTTAGGGTTCTTAATATGGATCCTAACATATTGCGGTGGCAGGCCCAGAGTTTCTTAATCAGGTTCCAACATTAGGGTGGCCAAGGAAAACGAAGAAAACGAAGCCCAAGAGTTTGGGGGTTTGGGGGTATGAAGGCTGTGTGGATACATGTGTCTGTCCTCTGTTCTAGAAGGAGGTATGTACGTCTATATGTATGTAATCATGTATGCAAATCTACAGATGCATGGACAAGGACTTACAAGGATATTGAGCATCTGTACATAGCGCAACAGCATGTATACAGTAGCAAACACAGCCTGTCTTGAGCCAGAAGGATCGTCGGATTCTCGAGGTTACCATGTGGGGAACTGCATACAAAAATCCACAGGGTCTGGGCTGAGTTTGGCAGCAGATTTCCCGTAGCCGACATCCACCCCGAGTTCGTCCTGCAGACGGCAACTATTTGTGTAACAAAGGCCGGAATGATGAGTCGTATCTTTCGCGGCGATCACTGCTATGACCATGCCGCGACATACCCGGGCAACGATACCCTCGAGCCCTAAAGCAAACCGAAACAAAAGTATAGTAGACTTTTCCGTTGGCCGCCCCTGTAGTAAATCTTCTGCGCCTGCGCCAGCTATGCCAGTCGGAAGCCAGCCCGGATGTAGTCTCGGCTTGGGGAGAGGGCATTGGTGTGAAAAGGCCGAGAGGGAGAGTTGATTGTGGCTTTTCATGGCAGTGGAGTCTGAGAGAGTATGTGTCCAATGCACTCGAAGGGCGAGGGCTACGTCCTGGCCGGCTTACCGGATAATCCTGCAAGGAGGCTGTCCCAACTTGTCATGACGGATACAAAATGTGCCTTCGTTTCCAGGCAGGTAGCACGGACTGAAGTTAGCATCTAAAATATCACTTCGCAGCCGTGTGGCGCACAACCTCCTGAATGAGAGCTGGGATCCTGATCGCACGAAGGCTGCAGTCTTGCGTTGCGCACGAAAGTCCTCGCGTGCAGCAATCCTGAGTACAGACGCCCTTAGTCTTCGGGTGTAGCTGTGTCCTAGCTTAGAGTTGATGTCAAGAGCGCATGGTGGGGAGAAGCTAGGTGGGCACCCACAGCAATGTTAGTCAGCGTCGTGCGACATCGTGCTGGCTTCTCCATCCATGCATCAGGACAGCACATGAGGTCGGCGTATATCAACGGGACTAGCCGCCACGAGGTCCCCTCAAATATCATTCTGTCGCCTCGGTAATCTGTCGGCACGAAATACAAGCTCCAAAGCCAATGCTGCCCGGGAGCAGAGCTTGAATGTTTGCTGCCAGATCGTGCTGCAGTGTGATCAGGCATCCTGCCGCCGTCTCACCAGTAAACGAAGCGATCTCCGAGGTTTAGACACTCGTACGTAAGCATCTGTTTCGTAAGTACTCAAAAGGCAATGCATTTGTCCCGTGGTGTTTGCTCAAGCTCACCCTGGACGCCAAA